GAGCCGCCGGGACCGCGCGCTTCAGACCCGGGAGTACCCGCGTCGCTGGGGCCGAGACGCCTGCCTCTGCCCTGCCAGTCTCCCTCGCGATCCCGGCAGGCAGCTCTGCTAGCTGGCCCGCCCGTGGAGTCTTTCTTCGGGCCCCAGCTCGGGGAGACATGCCCGAATCTAGGAGTGATGTGACTCTCAGCCTCTCACCTCACGCGGGGAAGGAGGCTTCCTGAAGCCGGAGCCAGGAGGGGAGCCATGGGAGGGACACAAGTCAAATGGTGAGCTGAGGCCACTTTGGCTTTGGAGGTGGGGTGCGGTGGGAGCAGGGCCGGGACCTGAGGATGCTGCCCGTGGCCATAGACTGCGGTGGAGATGGTGGGACCTGCTGGCCAGGGCTTGTCACTAGAAAAGGTGGAGTGGAGAAGGCACTCCAGGAAGGGACAGGACGCTTCCTTATCTCCCACCACCCATTTAAAAAATCTGTTTTGACTCTAATTTGCAAATGTCTTTGCTGGGGGATTGCTTGCCTAAGAAGTTGAGATGGGAGAGGCGTTAGACCTGTGGGAATTGAGTGTATCCGAGAGATGCATGTATCTGACTTGGCATCAGTAGTCTTCTCACCTCAGAAAGGTTATGAAGCAAGGAGAGGGCTGTTTGTTTATAACAGGACTTTTAAGCTAGCCAGGGAAGAGCCTGAGTCATGTAATTATTTAGCCTTGAAATCCTTTGACCTGAGGCAGAGGATTTAATGCACCTTGCCCATCCAGGAGGTACAACTAGGGAGGCAGCAGGATTTCCCTTCCTCAGGTCTCTTATCCTCTGACGCTGGTCATCTAGTTTCACAGTCTTGCCTCCCTGTGGCCTCACACTGGCAGCCTCAATTCAAGAAAGAAAAATGTTGTTTTCCTTTGGCTGTTCCGCCACTCCCCCAGTGGGCTTGGATATCCAGACATCCGCCTCCTTCTGCCCTTATATGGGAGACTCTCACTTAGGAGGGAGAAGGTGGAACTGAGCATGCGTCTGGATTTTTAGGAAAGCAGTTTTCCAGCATCCTAAATTCACACTACCCACCCTCCCCCCCTTGTCTCACGCGTACACAGTGTGGTCCAGCCAAAGGCAGGCAGTGGAACGTCACCCACAGCACCTCGTCAGCTGAGACGGTGTGGTTTTGTTTTCTGTAAGAGAGGAGAGGGGAACAGCTCTTGTAGGCCTCTTTCTGCACTTTTTGTTTCTGTCAGAAGGTAGATTCCGAGGCCAGAGCAGTAATAGATCTAGTCTCCTTATACATGATATAGTATTCTTTTTTTCTTTTTTTGAGAGGTTTTTGCTATAGGGTGCGAGCGCTCACCAGACAGACAGAGACATAGAGACAGAAAGCGAGAAATCACCCCCCAGGGGGGATGGTCACCCCGCAATCCCTTCTCCTCCATTCTCCTCTTGGGATCTTGGGCACACACACACACACACACACACACACACACACACGCCCGGCGTGAGTTTTAAGCCACTGGGTCCGGGACGTGAACCGTGGTCGACTACGTGGGAGTTCAGCGACATAGCCATGACGCTAACTGCTGGTTCCCCATGACATAGTATTTTTAGAGGAAAGCTTTTCTAGCAGCTAATTCTTGTTGGCTTGGAAGTCAGTCGTGGTGAAGGATGGAGAAAAGTCTTCTAGAAAGCAGTCACCATTTCTGAACAGTTTCTTGCCACTCCCCAACCCTCTTGCCTGTTTGGGCTATAGGCATGGGTAACCAACTTTGACTCTAAGTAGCAAAATGCCTTACCATTCTTCCTGTGGTTCTGTGAAGGAATGCATTACTGGCTAAGGTCATTCCCACCAGAGCCCTTAAAGTCTGACAAGGAGCATGCGACCCTAGTCCTCAGACTGCATCAGGGGTTTCGAAATCTCTAGATACCGCCACTGTGCGTGGCCCTTGTTTTCTACTGGTTTCTAGGAAGACAAAATGTTAACTCCTGATTGTGGTCGTGAGGATTAGCCTGGGAGACTTCAGGGGCACATTAAGTGGGTCAGTGAATCCTAGACACTTCCACTGTTGTCTGGGTGATGGATTTGGAAAGAATTCCTGAGAAGGGGCTGGGCCTGCAGACCCCACAGCCCCTGAGATTGTTTCAGTGCTGATGTTCTCAAGGTGCAGTGGGAAGAAAATGGCTCATCAGATTCCTTTATCCTTGTCAGATGGGACCTTCGGCCTCACATTCCCACCTGGTATTGGAGATGTGCTGCTGTTCTGGAGAGTTAAAATTTCTCTCCCCTGACAGTCTGAACAGTTCCTTCCAAAGCTATAAGTATGTCAGAATTTAAGAATTATCAATAGGTCTCTGATGACGAATTGAAAATATTGTGACAGAGATATAAACAGCTATTTGGGAGTAAATCAAATAAGCCTTCACTCCATCATTCCCCTAGCAGGTCTTCCCTCTTTTGACATTACCCCTCTCTTTGTCATGTTCTAGCTCAACTGTACACACTTCAGCAATTTCTATCCCAAATCACCTCCTACCCTGTCACCTCCTACCCACGAGAAGAATGTTAAGGCATTTTGCTACTTGGGGTCAAAGAAAGTTGGTTACCCATGCCTATAACCCAACTGATCTGCCATTATCACTTTGTTGATATTGCTTGTGTTTATGAGAGATAAAGATATTTGAAGTAGAATTTCCTTCTGGCATCAAAATCTAAGTCACATAATAGCATCCAGCTCTGAACATGGGCCTGGGGAGGATGGTGGTGGAAGTGGTGAGAGGTAGAAAAAAGAACCAAAACAAAGCTTAGAGTTCTTTGAATGCTAGATTACTCATCCTTCTGATAAATTTCTTCTCAATGAATTAGGCTTAAAGGCAGCCTATTTGTGGAAAAGACTTCCTAGGACTGGGCATTCATTCATGCAACAGTTAGTTCAGTCATTCCATAGGTTCATTATCCAACAAGTACATCTTTTTACTGTGGGCCAGGTACTGGGTTCGGTATTAGGAGTAAAACGAACAAGAACCTGTCTGTGGGATAAGTTATGAAAGTTGACTTTAAACAACTCTACATGGTAATCATTTTTCTTCCTTTTTGATCACAGCCTGACTTCACCCAGTCCCATCCACAGTGCAAAGAGCGAATCCATTATAACGCAGTTGGAGGAGAAAGCAGATTTTGTGGTTATTCCCTCTGAAGGAATAGAGAACAGAACAGGTATTGTCTCTCCACTTGCCTCTTGGCTCAAGGAACAGCTTTCAGCTCAGAGTTGTGCAGTCCCACCAGCTTAGAAGCTTGCTAGTCTGGGGACCAGCAGATGGCATAATGGTTATGTTACTGGACTCCTACATAGTCAACAGTGGTTCCAATCCTGGACGCAGCGGCTTGAAATTCAGGCCAGGCATGTGTGTGTGTGTGTGTGTGTGTGTGTGTGTGTGTGTGCGCGCGTGCGCTCAAAATCCCGAGAGGAAAATGGAGGAAAGGAGATTGCGATGTGGCCATCCCCCCGGGGGATGATATTTTGCTTTCTGTCACTGTCTTACTCTGTCTTTACAGTGAGTACACATACTTTATAGCAAAAAAACCTCTCTTTAAAAAAAGAAAACAAGAAGCAGCTCACTCTCCGTATCCCTCTCCATGATTTGGGCATTCAGGGTCAGCTCTATAGGGCAGCTAATTAATATGGTTATCCACTGGGGCCAGCAGTTGGCGTAATGGCTATGTTGCTGGACTCCCATGTAATCAACCATGGTTCAAGTCCTGGACCTGGTGACTTAAACTCACGCCGGGCACGTGTGTCTGCATATCTAAGATCCCGTGAGGTGAATGGAGGAGAAGGGACTACAGTGTGGCCATCCTCCCTAGGAGGTGATTTCTTGCTTTCTGTCTCTCTGTTTCTCTCTGTCTTTCTGGCCAGTGCATGCGCCCTATAGCAAAAACCTCTTAAAAAAAAAAGTTATCCTCTTTGAGAATGTCATTTCTGAACTGTCAAAAAATCTTGGGGCAGCATAGATAGGCACTTTTTTTTAAAAAGAATTATTTTATTTAACTTTATTTATTTAAATTTGACTAGAGAAGGATAGAGCGAGAAAAGGAGAGGGAGAGGGAAAGTGAGAAAGCAAGCCACCAGGTCCGGGACTCGAACCATGGTCAGCCATGTGGGAGCCCAGCATCCTTAACCACCAGGCCACCTGTCGGCTCCAAGATAGGCCCTTTGTTAGCCAGCTGCCTATGACCTTGGGATACTTGGAAGCCTTACTGAAATAAACAATTTTTATTCCTATCTTAGCCAGATAATTTCAGTATCTAACTTAGATTAGGGCCAGCAATATAATGTATGAACTGAGGTGTCTGAGAATAACAGTAGAGGACTACAGAAAGGACCACAGAGCTCTCTTTCCTTGGACTCCTTATTCTGTCCCCATTGCTCTCCTTTTACTTAGTTTCCTTTTAAATAGAGGGTATGTGTGCTTGCCAGAGAGAGAGCGTGCATGCCACTCATGCAAAGCACCCCCTGTGGGAATGGTCATGCCACATCCTCTCTCTTCCATCTCCCTCTTTTCAAGATTTTGGGTATGCACGTGTGCCTGGTATGCTCTCAAGCCGCTGGGTCTGGGACTTGAACTGTACAGTTGATCATGTGGGATACAGCTGCCTTAATCATCACACCGTGGGCTGGCCTACTTCCCTTTTTCTTACATAAACCTAGAAGGAAGCCAGGAAGAAATGAAGCATGTTATTTATTGAGTTGTTGAAAATGTCATGACTTTTTAAAATGTTTTTCTATTCAAAAATGTGTCATGACATTTCTGATAACACAATAGATAGAATTTTATTCACTTATAGAGTTGAAATGAAACCAAAGTTCTCAGAAAACACAAATACTCACACACACACAAAACCCAAAAAAACACAAATTAATAATTTCCTTGCTCTACTCCCCATTTAGCCCTGGCATTAGTTCCGAAGAGTCTGTCATGTTACTGAGTCAGTCCTGGGACCTTGGGGAGAGAGAAGCAGAACATTTATTGAAAGCCTGCCTGCTCTAGGCCAGGCACTACCAGGCCCTGCACATTAATGACCTCATTCAGTCTTTGCAACAACACAGATTATTGTATTCATTTTATGAACGAAGAAATACACTGAGAGAGTTTATACTGCTCTGCATTCTATGATGCATTTTAAATGGCTGTGCATACACTTAGGTAGGCTAAAACAATGAGACCAGAGTAGAGATACTGTAAAGGTAGGAGAATAAAAACACAGCCAGGGGAAAGATTTGAACACTTTGTGCTAATGTTACTTTCACGGATTTGTTACCTGCGTGGCTCACACAGCGCTATGTGAAAGGAGCTCAGTTATGACTGAGTGGGCAAAGGAGTATTACGTTGACGTCTCCTCTCTAATGCTCCAGAATAACCAACAGGAATTTTGCTTTCACTGCATCTGACAGCTCCTCTCTTTGTACCTGGTAAAATTTGGCTGTGGGAATGCCTGATCTAGAGAATTAAAAGTGAAAGATCTGTGTCCCATACCAAGACTTAGGAATTCAAAGAAGACAGATTTCCCTATCAGAGCAAGAGATTCTGTTGTGAGTTCAGAGCCTGAGATAGCCATTATTTGTGCCTCACTACCCCACCTGGTGGAGAGTCCAGTTTGTGTCGGGAATACAGGTTCAGAAGGCAGGTGACCTGAACCTGCTCAGGCTACTCTGAACACTGGCTGCCGGAAATCAGTCTTCTTCAACATGAACTGTGCTCGTTCTTGTCATTTTATAGAGGAGACAGACTCTCCATTATCCCGAGACTGGCAACCAGGGAGCCCTGGAACCTATCTGGAGACCTCATGGGAAGAACAGCTGCTGGAACAACAAGAACATTTAGAAAAAGAAATGGAGGAAGCAAAGAAAATGATATCAGGACTACAGGTAGCTCTTT